CCTCAGGAGAAGGCAGAGTCAGCATAGCTGATCGTCAACTCGTGTTGTATGTGTAAGATGGATGAGAAGTCGGTGAACAATCTACTCTTGCATTGCCCAGTGACTAGGGACGGATAGGGCTTTATTCTTGCCTGCTTTGGTGTTTCTTTGGACATGCCTCATTCTACAAACAGCATGCTTACAGCTTGAAGAGAAAGTACAATGGAAGCAAGTTCGAGATGCTTGGAAAATTGCTCCTCTTTGCTCGTGGTCAGGTATTTGGTAGAGAGAGTAATAGGAGATCTCTTGATGGGAAGGAGACTCCTACTTGGGCACTCAAATTCTCTATTCTTTCTACATTCTTATTTTTGTTAGTTGTTATGGTAAACGGTTGAAATTGTAAATTTGTAGAAGATACGATAATTTTAGGGATAGTTTGAGGATATAGCATATTGTTTTGGCTGTGAGCTTTCTATTTGGGTTATGCTCCCTGTTCAGGCGCTATTTTATGATATGTTACTTATAAATAATACTCCCTCCGTCCCAATATAAATGTCACTTTTGGGGAGTAGTAATTTTAAGGAGACATGTGGGACATGCATTGTCCCCCTGGAAAATTACTAACTTGCCCTTTTTTTTAATATTCAAGTTTGAAATTTTAAATTCCAAGGACATATATGGAAATTTGTGAAATATGTTGTTTGAAAAAGGAAAGTAGACAATTCCTTTGAGACAACCCAAAAAGGAATGGTGGACAATTACTTTGGGACAACCCAAAAAGGAAAGATGGACACTTTTTTTTTGGGACGGAAAGAGTAAATAAATAAAGCATTAGCACTTCAATAATGGATAAAAAATGTAACTTCAACTAATATTTACATTGCCTTCTGTTTATCAAAAATATATATATATTTCCACTGCCTTCTATTTATCAATGTAAAAAATATATATATATATATATATATATATATATATATATATATTTACATTGCCTTCTGATTCAAAACTGAATGAATTAATACTTGTAAACTGCAACCTCAATTTCATGCTCCCATATCATAACTATGACTTGAGTTCTGTACTCAGTCCAGGTTTGGTAGTAGACAATTAAGAATCCAAGTAAAAATGATTTTTATGAAGAAAAAAAAATCAGTAATATTATGCAACAACTATTGAACATACCAAATCTCTGAATAAATAGTATATATCTAGGAAACACGGGAACGCCTAAAAGGGCAAAGAATCCGTGTCGGAGAGGAGTCTGAATACTACATTTATTGCTCTCATTCCGAAGAAGAGGGGGGGGGGAGAGGTTTAGAGGTTTAGGATTTTAGACCTATCAGTTTGGTGGGAAGCATTTACAAATTAATTGCCAAGGTCCTTGCTTTCAGATTGAGGAGGGTTTTGGATGGGTTCATTTCCGATTCTCAAAATGCCTTAGTGGGAGGTGTCAGATTTAAGACTCGTCCCTTATTGCTAGTGAGTGTGTGGACTCCAGAATGTGAGTGGGTTCCTGGTGGTTTCTGTAAGTTGGACATTGAGAAAGCATATGATCACGTGAGTTGGAGCTTTTTTCTCTATTTGTTGGAGAGGATGAGAAATGGAGGAGATGGATAGAGTTATGTATTTCGAGTGCTCAATTCTCAGTTCTCGTGAATGGAGCTCCAATGGGTTTCTTTCCCAGTTCGAAGGGCTTGAGGTAGGGGGACCCGCTTTCTCCCTTTTTGTTCCTTATTGTGATGGAGGCTCTGAGTAGATTGTTGAGGAGGAATGTTGACTTGGGATTCCTGAGAGGCTTCGAGGTGGGTAAGGACACAAATAATCAGCTCGAGATTTCTCACTTGATGTTTGCTAATGACACTTTAGCGTTTTGTGTTGCAGATGTGCCCCACTTCAGATATTTGATATTTATCCTGATTTGGTTCCAAGCTGTCTCTGGTCTGAATGTGAATGGAGGGAAGAGTGTTTTGGTGTTGGTTGGGGAAGTTCCTGAGATTGCTACGTTAGTTGATGTTCTTGGGCGCAGCATTGATTCCTTTCCTATTTCCTATTTGGGTTTACCCTTTGGTTCGCCTTGGAGGAGTGTGGGGAGATGGGATCCTATGGTGTGGTGGAAAGATTCGAGAGGAGGTTGGCGGGTTGGAAAAAGCAGTATCTTTCTAAGGGTGGAAGGGTTACTCTGATAAAGAGCACTCTTTCAAGCCTCCCTACATATTTACTCTCACTTTTCCAGATTCCCTCCTCTGAGAGGATTGAGAGGTTGCAGAGGAATTTCCTATGGGGGGGCTTGGGGGAGGAGTTGAAATATCATCTGGTTAGCTAGGAGAAGGTTTGCTGCCAGATCCGGGTTGGAGGTTTGGGAATCAGAAGATTGGTGCCATTCAATAAGGCTCTCCTCGGGAAGTGGTAGTGGAGATTTGGGGTAAAGAGGCATAAGCTATGGAGGAGGGGTGATTGCGAGTCGATTTGGGGAGGGGAGAGGAGGGTGGACCTCCGTTGAGGTGCGTATTCCGGGGGGAGTTGGGGTTTGCAAATCCATTCGGAAGGGGTGGGATGAATTTTCAGAACACATCAGATTTCGACTCAAGGATGGTAGGAGAATTCGTTTTGGGGAGGATGTTTGGTGCACTGATCGTTCTCTTGATCTTACTTTTTCTTGGCTCTTCAGGATTGCCATGGATAGACATGCCATGGTGGTTGACTGCTATTGCCTTGATAGTAGGAGATCGTTTTAGGATGTTCGTTTCACGAGGCACTTCCAAGACTGAGAGATTGAGGATGTCGTTGGTTTTCTGGAGCTATTGTATCATCAAGAGATTGGGGGCGGCGTTTCTGATGATTGGGTGTGGGATCGTGTTACTCAGGGCCACTTTGATGTTCGGTCCTTCTATAGATGTCTCATGAGGGGACAGGGGTTCCTTTTCCATGGAAGGCTATTTGGAGCTCAAAAGCCCCTTTAAAGGTGGCTTTCTTTGCATGGACCTCTGTTCTAGGGAAGATATTGACCCAAGATAATTTGAAGAGAAAACAAGAAGTTGTGGTCAATTTTTGTTGCATGTGTCTTAGAAATGAGGAGACGGTGGACCACCTTCTTTTGCACTGCCATATGGCTAGGGATTGTTGGGACTTGATGCTAGGTTTGTTTGGGGTTCAGTGGGTTATGCCCAACACTACCAGAGGGTTAAGTGAGGCTTAGAGAGGTTTTACAGTGGGGCCCAAGCCTGGGATGTTTGGAGGGTTTCGCCTTTGTGCGTTTGGTGGTGTCTATGGATTGAAAGAAATAGGAGATCTTTTGAGGGAAAAGTGACTACTATCTCTGCACTCAAGTTCTTTATTATTACTACTCTTTTTTGTTAGGTCGTAGGGAGAAATTATAAATCCTTAAAGAAGATTGTTGATTTTTTGGACTCTTTGAGAGTGTAGAGGCCCTATTTGGCCTTGTGTGGTTCTCTTGGGATGCCCTCCCCTTTTGAGTGCTTTTTATACCATTTTTACTTATTAAAAAAATAATAATAATACTTAAAAGTTGTTTTATAAAAAAGTGTTATATTAAACAATCAAATATATATGCTTATATTTTAGTTCAAAGGTTGAAACTCTTGCTCAATCATCTTTGACTCTCTCTTGTTCTCCCACCAACCAAGCTTCGCTCTCAGTGGATGCTCTCTCTCTCTCTCTCTTATTTTCTCTCTTCTTCTTTCTCCTCCTCTATTCTTTCTTTCTTCTTTTTTTTTTTTTTTTGATAATTAAGCAAATTCAATAAAAGGCATTCAAAAGGGGAATGTGTCCCATAAACAACAAAAGGATCCTATGGACCCAAGGAAGAAATAAAGTCAGTTATCTCCTCCGGAGAGGAACAATGCCTACCCAAACCCCAAACGCATAAAGATGAATAAAAGTTGACTTAAGAACAACAATCGAGGATTCCTCTCCTTCAAAGGATCTATTTTTCTACTCCCTCCACAGACACCACCATAAAGCATAACGGCGCCATCCTCCAAAACCCACGAGCATGACCTCCCGCAAAGCATCCACTCCAATCCTCCTTCAGTCCTCTCGCAGATCTAGGCATCACCCACGAAACCCGAAACATGCCTAACAAAAGATACCAACAATCAAAATCCACTAGGCAGTGCAAAAGAAGATGATCCACCGATTCTCCACCTATTCTTTCTTTCTTCTTATTCAACACAAACCCTAGATACTTCACTCTTTCCTTTCACAACAAAATTCTTTTTGCATCTCTTTTTCCTTTTTCCTCTTCTTTCCATGAACTTTTTCTCTTCTATGAATTCTCACTAAGCCCTAATTCTGTTTTTAACAAAACCCCTATCCTCTTTATTTCTTTGTTTTTCTCTTTCTTCTTTCTATCATTCATTCTTTTCCCAGCAAAACACAATTTTTTTTTTTTCATTATTAGACTGACAAAAAAATTATACCACTCTTAATTTCTTGAAGTACATATTGTATTTATTATTTGTAGTGTCCGTGTCCTAATTTTTTATAATTTGCCGTAACCGTGTCTTTTCGAATCCGTGTCCCGTAACCGTTTCCGTGCCTCTTAGGTATTTATGTTTTATGTATTCATCTGAAACCCACTAGGATACCTAGAGATAAGATTTACATATTTCCTCCCTCCATATTTTACTTTTTCTTTTTCTTTTTCTTTTTCTTTATTTTTATCTTTTTTAATATGAGATGCCAATCTATAGGATGCTCCCACCCAAATTCAAAATTGGATTTTTCTCAAATGATAAATAATAAAAAATAAAAATTGTGCAACATATTATGAGGATAATGCAAATGAACAGAGTAGTACAGGTTAAAACAATGAAAACATACAACTGCATCAGGTTCTAAGCTCATAAGTACAGGTTAAAATAATGAAAATATACAGCTGCATCAGGCTCTAAACTCGTAAGGTATAAATAGAGCTTTTAAATCATGTAACTTATACTAAAATTATCATTCGAATGAAAAGAAATGAAAAATGAGGGCACATGCACCATAAACACACTTACCTGGGCCTTCACCGTGGATTGCATTACCAGATACATTAGTAGAAAAGGCATTACCAGCTGCATTAGTAGAAAAGGCATTACTCTCAACATTGGCTGCATCACTAACTGAATCAGTACGACTCGTAAACCATCGCCGGCTGTCACAAGTGTTCCTCATCATCATTTGCGGCTAACAATACAAAAATTCAGTCAGCCAAATTTGATATGACAGATGAAGAAGTAATTTTCATTTTAATTTGAACTCCTACAGAAGATCCAAATTCAAGTTCAAACCAAATTTAAAGGTAAACCAAAAGTCTTCAACAACAATAGGAATATATATATATATATATATATATATATATTGCTATATGAAGAACGAAGCAAAGGGCAATCTTATTCAATCCAAATAATCACATTGATCAAGTCGGGATCATCATCTTTTTTTATAAGTTTGGAATCATGATCATTCAAGGGCGGATTCAAGATTTCTCGTTGGGGTGGGCTAATATTAAACATAAATTTAATAACAAAATTTCTTAAGCAAAATAAAATAAATAAAAATAACATAATATAGATAAATATTTGAATTCAATGATATATTAAAGTTTTATTCATTTGGTTTCACCACATTACATTTTGCATGCTGGGTTGGGGCCTTTATTTTAGTATGGTGGCCGAGTTGACTTGGGCTTCATTGAGTGGGCTAAATTTTGGGGTAGGCTAATACTATTAATTTTTTTCTTTTTTTTGGGCTGGGCTAACATGGTGGGCTACAGACCACCTTTGCCTACCTGGTGTACGCCTTTGTGATCATTATCCTTCTCTTTATCCCATATAAATGGAATCGAGCATATCTATTCTCTTATTTCATTCTTTACTATTGAAATTCTTTTCTCCCATTATATTTAATTTTTGAATGGTGTCTAATTATCTCACATCGAGCATAAGCTCAAACAGTTTATAAAATTTATATATTGTTAATTTCATTCAAGCTGCCTCAACAATACAAAGGTGAGCCTTATTTATAGCCTAATCTGAACTTGCTCACTAAGGAAAGGAATGCAACTTGCATTCACTTTCATAATGACTTGGACCCCACTTTCTCACATGTCACCTTACTCACAAAGTAAAACAATGCAAGTTGCACTTACTGTAATGATGCCCTCACGTGTCACTTCCTTGCTCACTAAGTAAAGAATACAACTTGCAACCTCCTTCCTCACAAAGTAAATGCAACTAGCACTCACTTTCATAATGACACTCTCACGTGTCAGCTTGCTCACTAAGTAAAAGAATACAGCTTGCACATTTTTATTTACCCATATAGAGATTATTATATATATTATATATCAAATCATGGATGCCCTGCATCAGACTCCTCCACCTTAGAAAAACTCATCCTCAAGTTAAGCTGAAAATAAAGCTGTTCACTAGGCAGGTGACACTAGACTAAATCAGCAGAAGGTAGGAGAAAGGACCATGCCCTCAGGAAGGTCGAATGCATAGGCATGTCCCTCTTTCGTCTTGAAAGCACACTTGTCTCCATAATCATCACGGATTTGATGATAATAAATCAAGTTAATATTCGAAAAGAATTTTGAGGCAACCACCATATCAATCTTATCATCAAAACACGGTATAGGAACCAACTCTTCAACTTGCCTCTGCAACACTTCATTCTCGACTGGGTTCATGCAGTATTGTTGCAGGTTTGGTAAACTCATGCCAAGAACCAAATCTTTGTGATGTTGAATTTCTCGCATGGGTGATAAACCAACTGGTAACTCGTCTGAGATCAACTACTGTTATTCAGCTCATAAAGGTTGCACTGGATCCAAAACGAGGTGACTCTTTGCTCTTAACAATGATTGTCATATCATCGGATTCATTTACTCCCTCTTCAAACTATGCCTCATCTCCAGCAAGAAAACAATGCCCCTCCACTTTAGAAGCTTTGGGCAGTTCTTCTTCAGTTGGATTCTGAATTTAATCATGTTCTACCACTCGCAATCTTCCAATATATCTCTCTATATGTTGGTTTACCGACTTTTAAGAGATTATTGCATTCATTCAAGCAGTAGTACTCATCAATATAGTGGTTAATAGGTGTAAGTACCTTTGCATGCAATTTTGATATTGGTGGTGCGAGATCTCTTCATACTCTTGTGGGAGAAATCTGGCCATCAATAATTTCTTCATCTTGTGCCACATTCGGGCAGGTTGCTTTCTGAGCCATCTCCGGTGTCTTTGACTTTGTTCCCAGCGGGCCACCAGGATGTAGCACCTCCTTGAAGCTTGTATTGTACAAGCTTAACCTACTTGTCTTCTCCATATACTCGAAAAAACGCTCAACATCGTTCAGCCAGTCTGAAAAATCCTCAATATGAAGATATCTACTGAAACTGGGAAGATCAATCTTCATGTAACAATCATGAGTGTTCAGATAGTTTTTGTCTGGCCTAGCTCGGTCACACCAATCCATCCCGAATCTTCCTAACTCCTCATTATCGGAATAATTCGCATAGGCTGGAGGCCTCCGTGGATTTACACCAATGTTCAGTTGACCGCGAGAAAAATCTCTAGCACGAACCCGAACAGGATCACGAAACTGGTTGCCACAAATCCCAAGACTAGCTATTTGTCTAAACTGTTTTTCTTAAGTATGCATGACTGCCTTTGCAATCTTCGTCGGCAAAGCGGTTGCTGCCGAAACAATCATTCAACATCAAACCAGGGTAAATCAAGGCTCTGATACCACCTCACGTAACGGAAGCAGGAAAAGAGATATATATCTCACACCAAGCTCAAGCTCAAACAGATTATAAAACTGATATATTGTTAATTTCATTCAAGCTGCCTCAACAATACAAAGGTGAGCCTTATTTATGGCCTAATCTGAACTTCTTCACTGAGGAAAGGAATGTAACTTTCATTCACTTTCATAATGGCGTGGACCCCACTTTCTCACATCACCTTACTCTCTAAGTAAAACAATGCAAGTTGCACTAACTATAATGATGCCCTCACATGTCACCTCCTTGCTCACTAAGTAAAGAATGCAACTTGCAACCTCCTTACTCACTAAGTAAATGCAACTTGCACTCACTTTCATAATGACACTCTCACATGTCACCTTGCTTACTAAGTAAAAGAATACAACCTGCACCTTTTTATTTACCCATATATAGATTATTATATATTATATATTAAATCATTGATGTCATGCATCTTTATTCTATCCCATATTGGTTGTCCTATTTTTCTTAAAACTAATCTTATATTTCTTAACAAGTGTATCCACGGGTCTAAATTATACATGTCTAGACCACTTAAGTTGGCATTCCTTATAATTTATTAGCAACAAGTGTAACTCTTGATTGTGTCACACGTTAATCATTTACCATATTACTTCTAATTACTCGTATCATCTATTTAAGCATTCTTATTTCTGCCTCACAAATGTGTTTCATACTTCTCATCTAGCTAAGCATTCTTATTTCACCTACACAAATGCATTTCATACTTCTCATCTAGCTAAGCATTCTTATTTCACCTAGACAAATGCATTTCATACATCTCTTTTATAACCTGGCAAGCCTGCTCCCTTAGTTGGCAACTTCATCTTAATATAATTAGACCCCAAATTATTTGATTATACATCTGCTCGCATCACTTGTTGTAATTAGGGGTGCACAAAAAATCAGTGGAACCGGTGAATCGATCCGAACCGAACCAGACCGTATGGTTCAATCTAGCTTTGTTATGATTTGGACTGGTCCAATTCCAAAAACAGAGAACCGCTAACTCACAATTCAGTTCTGGTTTGGGGTCCAATGTCCATTAGGATTGAACTGTTAATGATATATATATATATATATGATGTTGTGGCTTTTTGCTTAATCATATAATTTCTTCACATTTATTAAGTTTGTTCATAGTTTTTTAATACATGCACCCAACAGAGATTTTGCCACTATTTTACATCATTTGAGTCTCAATCTCACGCTTGCTGAAAAAGAAGTGAAAGTAGGAGATGAATTGACAAAATCTCTGAGAGGTATGGAATCACATGTTACAATGGTGGCACAGGTTCCTACTACTAAAGTCCAGAACTGTGGATATAACTGGACCAAACTGATCTCTTATGGTTCTGTTTGATTTTACAGTTGCTATGGTCCGCTTCTGGTTCTGGTTCTAATTTTCTAGGAACTGTTGGGATAAGTTTGGTTCTCATTTAGCCCAGGGATGGTACCGAACCGTGTGCACCGCTAGTTGTACTATACACTCGACCTTTTTTTGGAGAAGTGAACCAAGAAAAGGCCCCAACATAGAGGTGAAAGTCAGTAAATGGAATTGAAAAATTAGCCTAATGCTGCATAAAGTTTACTTGGGTTTCTATGTAGTAAGTGAAAATAATCTCATCTACCAGTTTATTAACCACTATTTTTAAAATCAATGGAAGTGTTCTACCAAAGAAAAACAGCCAAGGGAGCACTGTCAGTGTCACTAAGTGGGCTCTCGATTTTTCGTACTTCCTAATTGTTATCCACCATCTCATGAGTTTGTTTTTGAAAACACGAGAGAGAGAGAGAAGAAAAGGAGGGGGGGGGGGGGGGGGGGGGGGGGTGGGGGTGTTGGGGAGGGGAGGGTTTCTGATGTTATTTGTTAACCTTGCATGAAGATCCTGTATGGAAGTGCCCCTAGCTATTTATACCAAAAGCTCACTCCGGATGCTTCATATTCCACCTATAACAACAGTATTCATTCTAAGGGATGGAGAATACCAGAAATACACAAGAAAGTGGTCTACATGGCACATAATCTTGTTCAATGGAACTGACAAATTAATTGAATAATTACTATGGGGGTCATAATAAAAGGTTCCTGACAAACAATCTAGCCTGATGCTGCAATTCCCCTTCCAGAAATGTTGAGCTTAATTGAAATACTGCAAAAATAAACCACCTATTCTGCTATAATCTCCAATATTTAAAAAGAACATGAAGCAAAAACAGAAGTAAGGTAATTGACATGTAAAAATAGGCAGAGACTACAAATCATAGTTTCCTATTACGCCCATGAATCCCACCGCTGGCAAAATTCCATCTTTTGCGAATCAGTGTCTCCCAGAAACTAAAGGCTCCCTCACATGGATTAGTCCTTAGAAGTATTCAGAAGGAGAGGACTCCTCTATTTAATTTACTCTATATGAAAATAGGACCTCACTGCAGAAAGAGCCCTCTCTGTCATTGTAACCTTCAATGCCTCTTTCCTTCAGAAAAATGTAAACACAGCATATCATCACCTCTTTACAGGGGCACGCTATAAACCAAGTCTAGTTCAAATGAACAACTTTTCAAATGAGCTTGAGTTTGCAACAATCTCGGAAGGCGATAGAGACGGGCTTGAAATGCCGTTTGGGGAAGATGAGGAGTTGGCGGCTCTAAGAAGCTGTGATGGGGATAAAGCTCTAGGGCCAGAGGGGTTTACTTTAGCTTTCTTTCATCAGAATTAGGAGGTGGTGAAGGCTGAGGTGATGGGGGCATTGGATTCTTTTTTTCTGCATGGTTCTTTTGAGAAGAGCCTCAACGCTTCCTTCATCACTCTTATTCCCAAAGAGGGTGGAGCATGTGAGGCGAAGGACTTAGTGTTGTTGGGTTGGTGTATAAAATTATTGCAATAGTCTTCAGTTGTGGAGAGTTCTCAAAGGGGTGATTTCAAACTCCCAGAATGCATTTGGTGGAGGGCGTCAAATTCTGGATTCAATTTTGATTGCTAGTGAATGCATTGAGGCTAGGGAGAGAAGTGGTATTCCGGGGGTTGTTTGCAAGCTGGATATCGAAAAGGCTTATGATCATATTTGCTGGAATTTTTTGATGTACCTAAGGAAGAGAATGGGCTTTGGGCAAAAGTGGAGGTCGTGGATTTTTTTCTGTATTTCGACTGCTCGATTCTCTGTTTTAGTGAATGGATCCCCGGCTGGTTTTTTTGCTAGTTCTCTTGGATTGAGGCAAGGGGACCCTCTTTCCCCATTCTTATTTATTATCGTCATGGAGGCCTTTAGCCATCTGATGGGGAGGCCTTTAGCCATCAGTTGGAGAGGTGGATGATATTCATGCCTTGGCATACTCTGGGGTGTGGTGTTGGCTCTTTTCCGATCTCCACTTGGGACTCCCTTTGGGAGCCTCATCAAGGAGAGTTTCTGTGTGGGATCCGATTGTTGAGCGGTTTGGGAAGAGGCTTGCAGGTTGGAAAAAGCAAATGTTGGGATGAATTCTCCAAACGTATTCGGTTCAAAGTTAGAAGCGGAAGTAATGTCAAGTTTTGGGAAAACAAATGGTGTGGGGATTCGGATTTAGCCAGTAGATTCTCTCGCATTTACCGGATTGCTATGGCTAGAGATGTGGTGGTCGTTAACTATTATCGACTCGATAATGGGAAGGTGACTTGGGATGTGTAGTTCCGCAGACAGTTTCACGATTGGGAACTTTTGGAGGTTACAGACTTCCTAGCATTCATCTATAAACAGGTGGTGGTTAGGGTGGGAATGGACGAGATGTTGTGGGTGGGTACCCCGAGAGGAGTGTTCGAGGTCAATTCTTTCTACAAATGCATGTTGGAGCGCCCTGGCCCTATGTTTCCTTGGAAAGCCATTTGGAGGACAAAAGCTCCTCTGAAGGTGGCATTCTTCTCATGGACTGTCGCTTTGGGAAGTATCCTTACTATTGATAACCTTAGAGAAAGAAGTCATATTGTGGTTGACATGTGTTACATGTGCAAGAAGATGGGGGAATTTGTCAACCATCTCCTTATTCATTGCTCAATAGCTAGGGATGTTTGGGCTATGTTTTGGGTTGCGTTTGGTCTTCCATGGGTGTTCCCAGAATCCACGGTCGACTTGTTAAAGACTTAGAAAGGATGGACAGTGGAAAGTCGAGTCAGAGAAGCTTGGAGGGCCACTCCCCTTTGTATTTGGTAAGGTCTGTGGTGCGAAAGAAATAGGAGATTCTTTAAAGGAGAGGAGTCTCCCATTTGGGCTATTAAATACAATATTCTTACTTCTTTATTTTTTTGCGTATATGGGCGGGATTGTAATTCAATGGATAGTCTTTTGAATTTTATGGATAGCTTAAAGCTATAGAGCCGATTGTGGGTCCGCCGTTGTCTTCTTTGGGATCGCTCCCCTTTTGAGGGCCTTTTATAAAACCTTACTTATCCAAAAAAAGTTCCTTTTGGGATTTGAATTTGAAAAAGGAGTTGGAATTGGGATTAGATAGGAATTAAAATGAAATTCCATTTGTATGTTTGGAATAATTGGATTCGAAAGAAAGAAAGAAATTCAATTTTTAGTTTGGATGTAAGATGGGATTCGAAGTGAAAATATTATTATATATAGATATAAAATTGTAAAATGAGTATATAAAAAAAATGAACTTAACTTCTCAAAATGTTCTAAACTAGAAATTTGTCTGATTGCTCGTAAATATCTTTAAAATATGTTTTTTAATAATTCTAGAACCAATTTTATAATATAAATAAGAGTAGGCGCAAATTCATTGAGCGTGATATAATAGTTTAGTGTTTAAACTTGAGTGCAGTTGGAAGATGTGATATGGAATGGAATATAGAGATAAAAGAAAAACTACAGGGTAGGAAGACATTAGACATACGGAAAGTACTCAAGAGATTAGAGATAAATATAAACTAGAGAGTAAGAAGATCTTAGACATTTGTTTCCTTATAGACGGTGTGGGTTTGCATGGATTTGGTGCTTTGGAATTAATTAAAGAAAAATTAGTTCAAAGGATTAAATTTTTCTTCTCCAATCTACCCGGTATTTGAAATCCCATCAATTGTAGTCCCAAATTGATAAAGCAAATTCTTTTATAAAAATAAAAAATAAAAAAACCTATTAGTTACAAGCACAACTTAAATATCCGATTCTACTAAAGTAATACTTACTTTCAAGCTAAACGCAATGTCCTTGAGCTCGGTTACGATATTTCCCATCTTGTAGAGGCTCTGAGGAAGATCGATGTTGCCGAAGTAACTCATTCGGTACTCCTCCACGGACAGAGGATCATCATCCACCTCTTCCAAGGCATTCAGAGAGTTGTCTGCAACCAACAGTTTCAGCCCTTGCTTCCGGGTCACCGGCATGTCCATCCTCGCATATTTCTCGTCGTCGTTCAACACCTTGCGGGGGAATGTTGACCCGTCTTTCATAAATCGATTGAATGCTCTGTTTTTCTTACCTTCGGCATGAGGAAGTTGTTTTGAACGTAAGTCCGAATCCGAATTATTAGTTGGAATATCTGATTCGGAATTGGAGTTGATGGGAGCGAATGTGCGGAGGGAACAAACAGCCATTCGAGAGAGGAGCTTCGAGTAGATTGTGTTGAGAGCTCTTAATGCCATTGTTGCATCTAGGGTTTTTCGGTGTGAGAGGGAGTAGCTTAATGCCATTGTTGCATCTAGGGTTTTTCGGTGTGAGAGGGAGTAGCTTAATGCCATTGTTGCATCTAGGGCTTTCGGGTGTGAGAGAAAATGGGTATAGAGCTTTTGTTGCAAGTTTTTGGGTGAGAGAGATGGGAAGGGTGTAGGTTTTTCTTTTCCTTTTTTGGTTGGGGTGGGAGGCATACAAAACTCCAACGCGCCTTGTGACTTACAAACGCCGCCCTTCCTTTCTCCTTTTTTTTCCCTATAACTGTGGAACTCGAGCGAGTTGTAAGGATAATAACTTAGCCTAATCTGCGCCGCCCCTTCCCCATTTTTTTCTCGAAAATTGTTAGACCCGGTAGATTTAAATTAGGCTGCAACTCAAGCGAACTGGAGCAACTCAATATATAAGATGTTCAATCGAGTCCAATCCTAACCTTACATTCAATCGGATCTTAAACTTAACTCTATATTCAACCCTAGCTATTAAACCCAAGTTCATCTCTTTTTTTTTTTTTTGAACTCGGGTTTACAATTCGAACTTAAATTTCAGGTTAGAAAGTCAGACTAATTCAAGTTATCCATATGACCAATCTCCACGGTGCAAATTTAATGTGGGCTTGAATTACTTTATGATTAAATTACTCTTAAAAAAAGTTTTAAAAACTTATTGCAAATTTATAAATAAATTACCAACAAACTCTTAGAAAATTAATTCTACTAAATGTTAACATAAAATAAATTACGATTTACCAAAGGAAGTTAGAAAGAAAAAAGGTGATCGTAATTTGAATAGTATATATAATGCATTTCAAATAAAAATATATATGGAAAAAAATATATATAGAATCCGGGTTCAGGTTCGACCCGGGTTTATAGCACCTCAACCCAAACTCAACCCTAATTAAGTTTGGGTTAGAATTTTTCATCCAAAACCCAAACTTAATCATAAAAATGATTGTCTAAGCCCATAAAAAATCAAGCTGGGCTTGGGTGGGTTCGGGTTACGTAACCCAAGTTGCACCTCTAATTTTAATATATAATCCGTAATCTCTTATGTTGCGATTTTAGGGCCAATTTGGCACAATGGAAATGAAAGGAAAAAAATAATAATAATGGTAATAAAGATGATAGATTGTTTCTAGTATGAAATGTTGGAAGGAAAATAAAGGATTCAGTGGAATGCAATAAGGCATGAATAGTAACTTTTGTTATCATTTCAAAATGGGATGAAAGACAAATATTTCTAATGCAACTTTGTTAATATCAAATTTGTCATTATTTTATAAAAAATTAAATCTATAAAAAGGGTATAGTTGTAAATTCAATAAAATGGTTCCTTTCATTTCCTTCCACAAATATGATTGCTATTATGTTGCATTTGTTTTGCAGGAATGGAATGAAATGCAAGTATGTAATGAGCATGGGAATATAATGGAATAGTCATTCTAATTTCATTATTTGGTTGCAAATATGATATGTATATGAATAATCATTCTAGTGTTTGGTTGGACAAATTTAAAATTTAGAATATAATGAATTTGAATTGAATTCTCCAAAATACCCCTCTTAATGACAATAATTAAGTTAACAAAATAACATTCTTTTATAATTTTTATAAAAGAAATGGTGGTGGTGTTGGATGGAGATGAAGATGATAGTGGAGGTGGAAAATATACAGTAGTGGTATAGGTGGTGGTTTGGAAGGCGGCGGGTGGTCGCAGTGGTGGAAGGTGGCGGTGGACGACAGATGATGAACGCTCAAATGTGACACATTTTAGCACCTAATCGAGGGTATTTTAGTCCATTCATCTATCTTTATTTTTCCGTTTTAGTACTTATTTGTGTTTTTGTCTATTTCAGGTTAATAAGGTTCAAACGGGCTAAAAATGGTCTATTACAGCCTTTTTGGAATTAAGCAAAAGTTCCAGAAATATTTCAGAAAAATCCAGAAAAAAAGTTAAAAATGCTGAAAATTTGGATCGATTGAAGATTTATTCTATCGATCGAAGATATTTTGGATCGATCGATCGAAGATTTCTTTAATCGATCAAAAATGTGCTGGGAGCAAACTGTTTTATTCCTATGCTCCCGAACTCTACCTACCACATAGTTGCGGGATTAGATATTTTAAGGGTTTATTTTCTGACTTGTTCACTACTCCAAGGACATTTTATAAAGGGGGAATTTGTAATACCCCCTAGTTTTAAAAAGAATAAAATTGGAATTTCAATTATCTTTATTGTTTTTTTTTTTTTTTTATGTGGCTAGTTGCTTAAATGTTTAATTGGTTTATTTGTTTTAAACTGTTAGTTTTGTATTTGAATTGCCTTATTTAGTTAAGTATATATTTTAATTAAATTAATTGTATTTTTGGTTATTATGCTTACTTTAATTGTATTATAAATTATTTTCTTGCATTGACGTAACTGTTTAATTAAATTAAGTGTATGAATTATCTTTTAGGGTTTTAGTATTTTTATGGACTTGCCGACATAATTAATTAGGATTTACGTCTAGGGTTTTTATTGACTTAGGATTTTGAGTTAGTTATAAATATATAACTTATACGTCCCTAGGGTTTGATAACCCTATTCACGACAAAGTGAAAATACAGAGAGTTTGGAGAGAATTGAACGAGAGTAAAAACAGAACAAAACTTAGAAGGAGAACAAAGAGGGCCAAGGGAGAGTTGTGGTGGATTAAACCAAAACCATAGGAGGCTTGAAGGTGGTCAGTGGTTGCCGGAAATTAGGAAGACGACAACACAGTTTTGAGACCAAAGCTACAGGCAAGTTCTTCTACTTTCTCCTTCCCTTTGGCTTGTGTTCTGTGCACCTAGGTAGTCTCTAGGGTTAAATAAATTATAAACTAAAACTTACATGTTAATTGTATGTTATATTGATAATCTGTTTGGGTTGTAATCGAATCTATTACAGAATTCGTACACATCTGTTTTCAGTTTTATTGGAAAAGCTTGTTAGTCCGGTTGTAATTTTAGACTCTAGGGAATTTGTTGAGTCTTAAATGGATCTTGCATGATTATTATATGTCAAATTTCATTATATGTTGTCTGAGAAAGTGGTCTGAAATAAATTCGTTATTGTCTGTTCCAGTTTTGCTCTTTAAGCATGCTAGTAAATTGCTTAGTTAAATCTCTGTATTTGATTTCAAATTGTTGTTCTAAAACCATTGGGAGTCTGTTTTGGTATTAATAAGACCCTAGGATAAGTTTCAGAAATCAACTGAAGGGTGGACATAGGCCGGAGAAGAAGCAGAAGGACGAGGACGGAGCAAACGGGGACTGGAAGCTCTCAAAGGAGGTGAGAGCCGGCTCCATGGATGTGGGAGCCGGCTCCCACACTCATTGAGCCGGCTCTACATTCTTAGAGCCGGCTCCAGGCTCAAAAAAGAGCCTGCTCTTGGAATTTAGAGCAGGCTCTTTCAAATAGTAATTTTCTGAAAAAAATTCTACGAACTGTTTGGATATTATTGGAGCATGGGAACATTTCTATTGACTCTGGGGTTTTACAGAGGGATTAGAAGGTTGGATTTGAGAGTTATTAAGTCCTTAAATTGAGTAAGCTTGACCTCTAAGTGAATGAAATTAACAGTGTGCTAATTTAACAATTGTGCGTACGGGTAACGGCTGGAAGGAAATTTATTGTCTAATTTTAATTTGACAATTTAAGGGGCTATAATATAGTTCTAAATTAAAGTTTAAATGTGTGATGGAGTCTTTTGAATAACAATTAGACTTGTAGCTTATTGGGGCTCTGTGCAAACAGATTAAACAGAATATCAGTATACAACTTAGCACGCAACCTGATGGAGAAAATTAAGTTGCTCAAATTAATCTAGCAATTTATGGGACTATAATGTGATTTAAAAACTTATTTTTAATGCATTATAGAGTCATTGATATATTAGATGTGATCTACGCATGCTATGGATGCTAGTTGTTGAACCTTTAAACCGTTTCCTGCAAATACATGGTTTAACTCTTGGATATAAATTGCTGAAACTATAAATAGTCTTCTGTAATTATTTGGGATGGTTCTGGATTGTAAATTGCTATACTGTTATTTATAGGTTGTAATTTACATGGTTTGGATGTTAATTGTGGGATCTTAGATATTATCTTACAAGTAATTGGATTATGGTTTTGAACTGTAATTGCTGTAGTGTTGTATAAACTATTCTGCAATTACCTGGCTTTTGGTTTTAGTTATTAAATTGCTGTACTGTTATTGATAGTCTGTAATTTTATTCTGAGGTTTTGGATTATTATTCTAGTTTCTCTTCAGCAATTTATTTATTCTTGTTTTTCTTATTTGTATTCTGTGTTCGATTATTGCTAATTGATTTGATATCCTCGGGTTATCGGGCGTGGGCCTGGCCAACCCGCATCCGGAAATTCGGGGGTATCACTGTCGGTATCAGAGCACTCCAGGTTCTAGTATCCTTAGGAGTGTTTTCGTTATAGGACTTCCGCATTGCGTCTCTTAAAAACTTAGAGCCATATTAGGATTTGTTGTACTTTTGTTACGGTTCGGTAGAAGGAGCCAATGTCAATTATATTTCATAGTTATGGAATGGTTGACACTAGGAGGAGGATCGGGTTCAGGGCAAAAGTGATACGGACCCAATAGAGTAAAGGAGGATGTTGTCAAATTCTTGGTCAGAAACAGAACTTGGGGATCGAAGATTTAGTCCTAAGGTTGGCATTACTGGGGAAGTATATGCCAAGACTGGATTAAGATATCGGTGTTTGGTCAGTATATCGGGGCCGGCACAAATTTCGGATATTCTCATAAAGGAGACAAACGAAGAGTAGGATTCTGAAAAGGGTCCTACGGGAGGAAATTTTAGTGTCTCCAAGAAAGGGGATATTAAAGCTTGAAGATGAAGGATCGCACGGAGGTGACCTCATTCATCAGCAGTATGGTGAATAATACTAGTAGAATTAGTGTAGATCAATCTACATGTGGATAAATTTTTGTCGTCTCTCGGAGAGTCAATTGAAACAGTACTATTTAGGCAGTTGGAAATCGGATAGAGTTCTTATTAGAACAAAGACATGATTTTATATCACATTCTGGAGCGAATGGGGATTAGGTTGTGACATACTATGGTACGTTGTAAAACCACGATAGTCGGTTTACATTCTGCGTATAAGGAGGATAAGGGGTAAGCCTTTGGTATTTCCTTAGGCAAAAGAATGTTGCTTTTAAGCTATGGTTACAAACAGGTTTCGAGGTTGGATGATTACCAACGAA